AGTACTTTTGGCCGTTGATGAGGCGAACCATGCCTGTTCTCATAGTGGTGCAAGGCTTTTCCTCAAACGTTAGAAGGTCCACACTCTAGATATTTCGGAAAAACAAAGCAAAAATATATATGTACATTCAAGAGAAGATCCTTCATCAGTTTTTTGATCAATAGTAATTTCAAGAGCAATCGAAAAACGTCATTTAATTATTTGGTGGAGAATGTTTAGATAATCAATTCTGATGTTTTGCTTTTGTGTTTCTGTCTGCTTATAGACCATGCTCCATTCTTATTTAGCACTAAAAAGTATTTTCACTGATCCGGATTAATTACGGTTTTTATGAAAGATTTCGATTCTCTTTGTAAAGGAATCCAGTAACGCAGCTTATACAGTGAAATCCCGACCTCTTTTACCCTCGCATTTTCGACACTCCCGATAACTCGAACCAAAAGTATTTTCACTATCGATCATCCGTTGATTTCTCCAGCAACCCGATTTTTCAAACCAATTTTGCTACGTTTCCCTTTGAGATTCCGGCGAAAAATCTGGATTTCACTCTTGTTCAACTTTAGAGAGTTTTGTTCCAGCTTGTGGGAAAAGATCAAATCCAGGATTGGTTAACTTTGCCGACAATCATACTGTCTACTCATGTAGACTACACAAATGAATCGATTTTACGAAAAGATATGTGTGTGCCGGTCTTAGGCTTAAATGATTCTTACGTTGCAGGAAGACAGTGAGCCAACGGAGTCAGCCCTGGCATTGCCCAACACGACAAGGAGTGCAAAAAACATCAACGCCACCAAGCTCTTCATCTTGCAGTAGATGTAGATTTACTTTACTCTTCAATCTTATATCAAACTCCAGTGATTCCAGTCGTAGTAGAACGTCGTATTACAGTCTGCTTTGTGTAACTATGCCACGTAACTCAACTGTATCCTTTATGTATACGGTATGCGGAGTCCACAACCGGAAGTGAATCATCTAAATATCGTTCGTGCATTTACAGGTATTTGAGTTGAATAAAAACAATCGAACTGTTTAATTTAGCGACGACGAATTAGTCAATAAAGATTTGTTAGAGCGATAGAAAACCTCGGCATCGACAAAATAGTTAAATGTTATTTTAGTATATCTTTATGTTGCACATGGGTCGTACTGATTGAAGGATTTTTTCCCTTCAGCTGGTTATGAGTTCAACATTGTTTAAAAATGTGTCGTGAATTTGAATAAATCTTAGATACACATATTCACTCTGTCTAAAATTTATTCAAATTTGYTACATGTCACTGATAATACATGTTTAGTTTGTTCTAAGCAATGAAGTTCAATGAACAGAGAACGTAAACACGTGCATCTTTTCATACTGTTCCTGTGAAATTGTAAAAACAAAGTTCCACTAGGTAAACTTTGGCATGCGGTTGTTTTTGATCGCAAACAGACATGGGTCAAGTCCCCCACCCCCCTCTTCCCGGGCGTATTAGTTTATGGATAAAAACAAAGTGCGAAATCAATCGCAAAAAAATTGTCTGAAGAAGTTTACCCTCCCACTTTAAGTCCCTGACTGAACATTTGAACTCTGAGACCGGCCAGTCTTTATTCCGTGCCATAACAGTATTAAATTAGACGCAACAAAATTATCTACCGCTGCCATCGAATAAAGACTTGCGGTCACATTTGCGCCTGTCTCAATACCTGTACATGTGAAATAAGAATGTGTCCTGCGTTGTCGCCAGCATTATGTATTTAATTAGCTTTCAAGCCAGTAATGTGCATCAAGCAATCTGCTCCAACAACAGGCGATACTGATATGATTCGGTGC